AAACTGTGATTCTTTGTGTTTTTACAGTTTCTGGCTCTGACAAATGGTGTAATTTTGCCTTTTAAATCTGCTGGCAGAAAAAATGCAGATGTTCAGAGCCTTAATCCCTTTTAGGTCCCATTTTTCATGTTCATTATCTTCTTCTCTGCCTTCTTACTGCCATTAGAACCAACATGCGACCTCTGGATATGATACTAAAGCGGAGCAAGATCTCAGTTGGGTTTATATGTGCATTATAACATCAGTGACATGTGATTGTGTGTGTGCTGCAGGTCAATACTGGCAGAATGTGAAGGCCCACAGTGGATCGGTGGCTCTGTCCTACCTGGCTGCTCAGACCAGAGACTGTGAGGAGACGGATGCTGTCAACGCGTTGGCCTCGCTGTCTGTGGGAGTCCTCCCCAACAAGAGGTACAGCCGCACAGCAAACCGGTCAGAAATGACACTTTTATTCTCCTGGCGTAGCACTCAACGTTTATCTTTTACTCTTTCCTCCAGCCTCCCCGATGAGCCGATGGAGCACGACAGCGACTCCATGTAGGAGGATCCGACCGACCGACCACCTCGCAGAACTCCCCGTCAGGAGCGGACCTCCTGCGCTGTCACATGAAGTGTTTGTAACGCCGCTGAGCCCCGCCCATCCGCCTCCTTCACACGCGCGTGCGACCCGACACGCCGACACACAATGCTGAACCTCTACAGACGAGCACCTCGACGCTGGTAACCACTGGGCTGAAGCCGGCAGCACTACCTGCAGCTGAGAAAACCTCCTGAAACCTCACCAAAGAGCAATACAAGTTGATTTTAATAGACTCTTTCATGTCTCCTGACTGACATCGGACCGTGTGTGTGTGTGTGTGTGTGTGTGTGTGTTTGTGCGGGTGTGTGTGTGCGTTCAGAGGTCCGGCGCCGCATCTCTGTGACCACAAACCTTTTCAACGGTCAGAATTCAGACCTCTGATTCGTCCCGAAGCACTATGTACCAGCAGCTGTTTCGTTGCCTTAACTTTGCCTTAACGTAACATCAGGTTTCACAAGGGGGGGAAGACTTTGGATTTTAAATTCTTCTTCTCTTCTGCCACGTTGCTATCAGAGATGAAGCCGACCAAACAGGATGCAAAATGATGCAAAAAAAAAAAGGTGAAAACATTTCCACATGCGCTCCGTGGATACGATGCAAAAAAAAAAAAAAAAACGTCACCAGGAAGAAGTGGCCACATCATGAAGAAAAAAGAATAAAGAGACGCAGAGATTGTCTGTTTTAATGATGTCATTACATGCCGTTTAACCACTAAAAGAAGACAACAAAGAACTCGGAGGGAGGGGGAGAAAATGAAGACACAACATGGACAACTGTGGTTTTGTATAAACAAAGAAAGGGCGATTTGTCCTTTGTTGTTTTTATTGCACTGTTCATTCCATAATGTGAACCATAAGAAATTCCAAAGCTCTGGGAAAAGAAAACAATTCCTCTCTGTAGATTATTTAATAGTTCTTTTTTTTTTGGAAGATTTGGATGAAATGTTCGTTATACTTTCCCACTCTTCATGTCTTATGAAGTCTCTGAGGACAGACATATGGGCCGAAATACTGTCGAGTTGTATTTCCTATGAAGTTGATCCGAAAAGTAGGCAGGACTTTAGGAGCAGGATTAATTTTTTTTTCTCTGCTGTTCAGTGTCTTAAAATTCACACAAACCTACACACAGAGCGATGACGAACTGTCGATGTACCACTAGTATTGAATACTGTATATTGTTGTTTATGTTGGAGACTAAGCGAGTGTTCATTCCACCGTGGCACCACTGAGGACCATTGTATTGTTCTGTAGTAGCAATACTGTTAATGCACTTAATGGACATCACCCAAAGAAAGCTGCCTTAAAACAGCCTGCACTTGGCAAATGGACTGTATGGAAGCAACACGAGGGACAGGCACGAACGCCGCTCTCACAGTGACTCTGACTTTCGAAAGGCAACCTGTGGATTTATGCATATGCAGTAAACTTGTTGTGAACTGTTTGTTTAACGAGCACAGGTTTTGTTCACTGGCTCTGCAGTCTAATTAAGGAAATTAATGCATTGTGTTTTGTTTGTTGTCGGAGAAGAACTTGACTGTTTTTCTCTGCAATCGCTCCGCGGAGCAACTCTTCTTACAATCAGATCGTCGAGACAACGCCACGCTTACAACGTGTCATCTGAGCTGATCACTGATTTGATCTTTTTGACTGCCCTGCTTACAGGGGCGCGTAAGGGCTCTGCATTCCAAAAGACAACAACATCGTGTTTCTTAGCTTGGAGGTTGTTTTGTCGCAAAATCAAGCTTGTTAAAGTCTTTGTTTCGTGCGTACTAGGTTTGACCAGTTTAGGCTTTCTGATGATTTTTAGATTAGAGCTGCAGATAGCTCCTTTGTGCTCCATAAAAAAGTACACTCCTCTATTATTACAGGGTCTTTTTAAGCTTCTAAAACTAGAAACTAGACACTAAACTCTCCTTAAACTGAAACTAATGCAATTTTGACTAGTTAGTTAGTCGCTCCTGACATTCTCTGAAAATGGTTTCCGCTTTGTTTCTCTGTAGAGTTTGTTTTTTTCTTCTAATCCACGACTGGATTGATTGAGCAGCACAATCTGTCTTTCAACTCGTAGGTTTTTCAAGAGAGACACATTTTGGTGTTTTGTAAGTAAATGTAAAACTGGCTGAAGGAAGTATTATCAGTGTAGCATTCAGGGAGGAAACTGTACGAGTGTTTGTTGTAATCGGACCCTGGGCATCGTCTGCCCAACGGAAGGCCTCGGAGCTTTTACCTTCAAACAAAAAGGACGGTGGATACCAAAATGTAAAGATTTCGCCATTGCAGAGGTCCCGCTGTTGTCTCCATCACAGTAGTTCTGCAATGAGCGCTGCGTCGTCGTCCTCGTAGTGTTGTTCATAGTGTTCTTAACAGCAAGCGACAGCATCTAAACAGTATGCTGTGTGTGTCTTATGCAGCGTGCCCAGCAGGCGCATGCGGTGTCCATGAAGTAAATGTTGTTGAGTGAGTCAGCGAGTGTGAGTGCGAGATGGTGACTGCATGTGCACCAGTGCATATGTACTGTCGCCTGCTCTGTGCATGCATTTGCAAGTGTTAAAGTGTTTGTGTGTGTGTGTGTCCATCAAATACTGTAAATGACCTCTCCTGTATTATATTCCCAGTGGATGTTTTTTTTTGTCTTATGTAGAGGCCAGTATTGCCTCAACTCTTAATTCCCTTTATTACTGATGTAATTTGTACCTTCTTCTTAAAGAAAGACACTGTAAATAGAAACTCCAAGACCAAAATACACGTCACACACGTGCCTTGATGCATTCGGTAGTATGTGTATTGGTAACTCTTAACTAACTGGACTTACAGTAACTCTGTATCTCTAAACATGACATTGAAATCTTTTGTTTCATGCTATTCTTTATTATTTACTTGTGTTATTTTTTTTTCTTTCACATTTCCTACCATGTGTATGTATAGAAAGATTGTCTATTTTGTACTTTTTGCCTTTTCCTCTTGATTAAAAAACTATTTCCAGTAGAAGCCCATCTTTGTCTCGCCATTTCCAAACACCATAATACAAAAGCTGTCGTTTGCGTATAATTTATACACACAGACACACGACATAAACACTCAATGTGTCTCTGTCATATACATATAATTGTATAATGACCATGTGACAATGCTATAGGTCTGAATGGCATAATGTTAGCTACACAGCAATGAAGGTAGCTTTGCATTGATTTAATACCTAACTCAGGTGATCTGTGTGTGTGTGTGTGTGTGTCTGTTGTCCGTATATCTCAACAACCATAAATCCGACCTGCCTTAAACTTAGCAGGTGTATCACTGGGGACTTGGTAGAGTGTAGTGTTAAGTTTCCACCCTGTAACCTGTTTCATGATCGTTGTGTCCTTGGGCAAGACGCTTCACCCACCTTGCCTGGTGTGAATGCGTATGAATGGATTGTTTGAGGTGGTGGTCGGAGGGGCAGAATGGCAGCCATGCCTCTGTCAGTCTGCCCCAGGGCAGCTGTGGCTACAATCGTAGCTACCACCACCAGAATGAATGTGTGTGAATGAATAATTGACAGTGTAAAGCATCTTTGAGTGTCTAGAAAAGCGCGATATAAATCTGATCAATTATTATTATTATTGAGTTTGAGGTAGATCGGTGATTGTTCGGGGGTCCTCAGCCTGGACTTGCAAGCCAGCTGTTTGGTCATATTGTTCCGACAAACCCGTCCCTGCCAGAGACTTGTGTAGCAGTAAGAGTGCAGCAGGTGAGAGCGATCAGCTGATGAACGGAGCAGCTGGGCCTTTAGGTGCAGACACTCTTTCAGTGCAGCAGAAAGCAGCTTAACCCTCTGCTCTGGGAGAAACACTTGCACCACTTTTCGAAATCTCAGGACTTTTTTTCACCTCACAGATGCAGTCGGTAAGATATATGTGTATTTAAATGTTTGATTTGTAGAATATTATAGATTGTGATGAATACTTGGTCTGACTGGTGCATTTTGATTATGTGCGCTGAACATTGGCTGTTTTGTTTAAAGGTTTTTTCACCTGCGACTCAATGGCAAGAGTTCCAAAAGTGTGTTTGAGTGAAATCCAGCCAAAGTCTGACGAGGTGCATCCAGCAAGTGGGGAAGACCTGAGCACTGCTCAGCAGTTAGATCCACTTGACAGTGAAAGACTGGAGCAGCAAATCTGGACCAGTGCTCGGCCCTGACAAGCTGAAGTCACCGGTTTAAGAACTGTCACGGATCACCTGCTCCCTGGTGGAAACACAACGACTGAGTCCAAGTCACCGGAGCAGCTGACAGCCGGCAGAACCGCTGCAAAGCTTCAGCTACATGATGATACAGGGTGGGCTCTAATGCTTGATTTGTGACCTCAGCAGGTATGTTCCAAATCCTCCATGAGATTATGATGATGCAACCGGTCAGATGACACTGTTTATAGGTAATTGCCTGAAAGCAAATACTGAGGCAGGATTCTGGAGTGCTGTTGCAGAGCAGGTATATCAGAGTTTAACCGCTAACATCTGTCATTGATGATGCTAACACACCTGTGATGTACATTTTCAATTGTACCACTCAGCCATATTTATGTATGAAAATCATCATCTTGGCCATTGTAGCAACTAATGTGCTAATCCATTCTAGCTGCTTAGGCTTCAGCAGCAGATACGTAGCAAAATCATTCTCATATTCCATTTGCACTATTCTCCTTATACGTGTACTTTTATACTTGTTGCACTATTTCTTATATTTATATTTATATGTACATTTTTCTGTGTAGTATGTGTGTACCTCTATGCGTAAAGCTGCTGTCAACGATGTGAATTTCTCCACTGCGAGATAAAGGCTTATCTTATCTTATCTTAAATCACGCAGCAACACATACATGTTGCACTTAACTGAAAATCTTCAAAAATGGAGCCAAAAGCAAACAATTTTTATTTGTGTGTTATTTATGTAATGTTTTAGGATTTTTGCTTCATCATATTCGTGGCTGTATGTACATTCATGTGCGTGAACGTCTAGACTTCACAGTGATCGTTCTGACTCCGGTGTGGCATCGATCTCAGCTATGAAATCTGTACAGCGATCGGTGGAGCTCATCTGCCTCCCTGATAAAATCGCATGTACGGGACGTCTTTAGGTGTGCGACGCAAAACTGCACTTTAACAACGAGCAGATGTTAAGCAACCTTGTGCGACCCCTCCAACATGGAGGTTTGATGGCACAGAGGCAGAGAGAAAAGCTGATTGCTCCATAACAATACTGTATGGAACATATTGGGGGGGCAAAGAATGTTGGCAGCGAAACTTTGAGCTGTACTTCAGCACATTTACAACCTTGTTTATCAGCCTTCACAGCTAAACGGCAGACATTGGTGCTTCCACCTCGTGCCTGATGAGATATCTGTGTGCAGATTGATGACCATCTACCTCTCTCCCTCGTTAGTTTTATTGATTCAGTTAAGTCGGGACAACTTGTAGCGTTATCCTGCTTATTTAATCCTGTAAATTACATTACAATCCCCCCAAATTTAACCTCAACAAAAGTTCAACCAGAAACATCTGGCTGCATATTTACTGAAAACTTCCACTTCTCAAAGCTTTCTGCAGAGTTTCAGAGAAAGGAACAGAGGAGGGAAGTAACAAAGTACAAATACTTCATTACTGTACTTAAGTAGATTTTGCAGGTATCTGTACTTTACTTGAGTATTAATTTTTCTGATGACTTTTTACTTTTAGGCTTAATAAAAGATTTTGGTAGCCTCTAAGAGATGAGTGTTTCCATGTTAATTATAATGTTTAATGTTTATAATGAAATAGAAAACTGTCCGGTGACGTTTGTCTCTGTACCAGCGCTGTGCAGGTTCTTAAAGGATGAAAACAATCCTATTTTGTGTGCTTAAAACTTTCTTCATCTTGCTGAGTTATCAAAAGAGGCGTTGTGTGTCATTGAAACTAAAAATTCATTTTTACTTTTGTACTTAAGTAAATTTCTGAACCTGTACTTTTTTTTAAACTTTTACTTGAGGAGTTGAATCAGTACGTCTACTTCTACCAGAGCCTAGTTTTACACGAGTGTCTCTACTTCTACTTAAGTAACGAATGTGAGTACTTTTCCCGTCCCTGGAAAGGAATGAATATTATATATGATGTATGTAAAATTACACATAAGCACTGAACGTAATTGCAATGATACTTTGGCTTTGTCAGTGTGGAAATCATTTGTTTGCTGTTAAAATTACAATCTGTGAGAAACCCTATTTTAGGTTATTGCTAGTTTATCTTCAAGGACGCTGTTGATTTAAAAGGACCCGGGAGCTGCATATAGTACGTCAACACACAGATGAGTATATTGTTATTCCTACAAATATGGTCCTAAAATAGAACATACAATAATGGATTCATTGCTAAGTGTGTTTCTTTCGCATTGTTTGGCATCACAACATATGACCAGTGTGATTATTGTACTTGAATTACATGCAATCTTGAAATACTTGTACTTTACTTGAACATTTATATTTCATGCTACCTCACTAACTTTCAGACACAAATATCGTACTGTCTGCTCCACTGCTTTACATTTTTATTGTATTTCCTTGCATGCAAAACATATGGAGAAATTTAATTGCTAACTGCTTTGTTAATCATTTCATTTAAAAAAAAAACAACAACAACCTAAATATGATTCTGTTTCTTTGAAAGTTTTATTTTACCTCTGTAACCACCTACGACTGCTTACACATGATGGCACCAGGAATCAATAACACGAAATATGACATTTTTCTGCATTGAGTTATTTTAATTCTTTAGTTGTGGTCATTTTCAGAATTTCTTAATTAGTAGCTCAGTTTACCATTTAACACTTTAACATCATCAGTGGTTTACCAAAGTAAAAGTACAATTAATGAGCAGTTTAGTTTTGTCACATTTCTTTTCTTTTTTCAAAGTTTATTCCCACCTTGTTGTGTCAAAGCTTTAATGATTTAGCTCATGCTGAAGTATCAGGGTACAGAGCAGTAAACCTCATGGCCAAGGATAAAGCTATAACTTATAATTTAGGTCCAAACAGGCTATAAATATCCCCGGAGCCCTTAATTGCACATTAACATGTTCTTTTTGGAGGAATTAACTGTTCCTGACTGACCAGGCAAAGGCACACAGACCTCGTTAAAAAAAAAAAAAAAAAAACGACCGGGGGAAGGAGGGAGGAAGGGAAAACAGAGAGAGACAGTTTAACAAGAGGGAGAGGAGACAAAGAGGGCGTGGAGGCAATATAAATCTTTACACCGTTCATCATCCAGTTTTAGCGAAGACAACAAGAACGTTTGGAGATACTTTTATTTTTGAAGATTGTAAGCGGCATCACGACGTGTAACTCTGTCTGCCCGTCGTGTTCAGTCATCAGTGCCACTCCTCCTTCTAAAGCATCATATAGTTCAAGTAATTGCTCATAAAAAAAAAAAAGCAAAAGCTGGCTGTAAACTGTACAAGAGACTACCACACGAATCTCTTTCCAACAATGAATCTCGCTTTAACAGAGGTATAATACAAATTACCTTCAAATAAAATCCAGGGAAAATAGTATGGAAACAAACTAGTGTTCCAACTTGACCTGCATTAACAGCTTGTTCTCGATAAATGGCGGCTCTTTTGTTGGTTTGGTTGAGTTTGAGTCTGCAGCCTGACCAACATGCCTTCTTAAAAAAAAACTTCTTATGTGGCACTTTTATCCAAAAAGTGAGGTACCTAAAGGTTTCCATTTGCAGCAAGGAGCAGAGATGCACCTGGAAGATCAGTCACTTTATTCAGCAGCTGGAAAGACAAACAAACAAGGCAGACACGTTACTGCAATGATCACCTAGAATCACACTGGTCACATTTAAACGTATGATCACTGGCAAGATTTAATTCCTAAGATGCCACAGGAGGTGAAATAAATGCCGCATCTTTAATACATAACCTTCTAGGATGCATCCAAAAAGTGAGAATAGAACTGAATGCAATAATACTGCATGATGCACTCGAAATCTCAATCTGATTCTCCACTCATTTTATATACAAAATGCACATGGGCTGCTTTCTTTTTTCCCTCTCTTCTGGCCCTAAACTGAATTCTTTCTAAATGTCAAGTGTCTTCTAATATGTCAGCGGAGTTCTAGCCTTCTGAGACCACACTGTGCTGACTGCGGGGCTCGGCGAAAGACGTTCACGAGTCTTCATAGGAGCTGGAAACATTAGCTACCTCCCTGGGACGCTCTAATGATAGGTTGCTGGTATTCGTGCATTTTGGCAACGAGGGAAGAAACGGTCCGTCACGGATATCTAATGAAACCAAACAGCTTGTCAATCTCGGTCTCTCCGGAGGTTTAGCTGTTTACGTGGAATGAAAGCTGAACCGTGCAGGTGATGTTTGTTTGCTTCGGTTCTCATGTAAAAAAAAAAACCTGAGTGACAATAATCCAAGGGAATAGTATATAATTTGGAAATGATGTTGATTCAACAAAAAGTAGAGTTCAGGTTGTTTTTAAAAACACAATACCCAAAGTCAGCGCTGGGCTGCATGTGCACAGCTACACCTATTCATATGTGCACATTTGTGTGTATAAATCAGCTCTCACCTCCTCCATCACTCCCAGCGGTTTATGAGAGCCCAGCGGGGAGCCACAACAGCCTCCCCTTTGATGGTGACACGCATGATTCATGGCTTTTAGAGACCGTTTGTTTTCATTACGCCTCCTCGTCAGCTCGCTGTAGCTGTATCGCCGTTTCGTGCAAACGCAAGCAAAACTGGGCCAGAACGAGAGGAAAGAATTTCTCGAGAGTTTTTTTGGCACTGGAAGAAACAAAGGGGCTTGGTTCTTTTTTTTTATTTTTTTTTTTTTGGTATAAAAAGGGAGAAACTTGGGGCAGGATGACGGCTGCCGCAGCTACTTTTTCCACTGTTACTTAGGTTCAGAGGTGGTCAGGGATTCATAAAATGTCAGAGTCTTGGAAAAGTGGAAGATGAAAGAGTACACAAAAGTCAAAGGTCCAATATCTCTTGACGTATCCAATTTAGTCTTTCCAGTTCTGACTTTCTTCTAATCCTTCCTTCACATGCTATAGTTGCTGTGCATTATGCAAAATGTTGTACACTCAGAAATATGACTCACAGTATGCATACCTATGATGACGACGATGGCATTGATGAGAGCGGGACTGATCTTGGCTAAGGTGGCAAAATCAAGGGGCGACGATGAGGACGAAACCAGGTGTCGAGTTTCAGAAGCTGAGAGGTCAGAGGGCTCCGGCAGAGTGAGTCTTGCTGTCATGTGGAGGCAAAGTTTAGTCCTTAGCTGTGAACAAATGTTGAAAAAAGACCAGCTGTCCTGTCCTCCACCGGGATCTTTGTAAACAAATATATAATATATTAAAAAGTCCAAGAAACGTCTTTTAAAAGGCAGCCGTCATACTTGGCGTGCACACTTTAGACCCCACCATTGGCACCATGACATCTGATATGTGGCCTGTAAACAATGAAAACTTCATCTTTCATAAGGCAGCAGTGGCTTAAAAAATGTGTTCCATCCAAATGCTCGCACAAAACAATTAAAGTCTGATCAAGTGTCTTTTCAATTACAGAAAGCACACCTTCTAAGTTGGGATGCTAAATAGTCATCTGATGAGCAGGCACAGTTCAGAATTTTTGCTTGTCATGAGACATTCATCATGTGTTTTTATAGGCTAGTGACCAGCAGACATGGTGGACCAGGCTCCCTCCATCCTCCAAACAGAGAAGGCATAGCTCAGTCTCTCGTGAGCCAAGTAGTTACATCCAGCAAGCTTAGAGTCCATCTCGTCGCTCTGTAAGACCTGGTACAAAAAGTCAATGTAGCGCGATGCCAACTTCAGGGTCTGGATCTTGCTCAGTTTGTCAGAGGGAAGCGTCGGGATGATCTTGCGCAATGAGGCGAACGCTTCATTCAGAGATTGTGTCCGCTGTCGCTCCCGGATGTTGGCGATGACCCGCTGGGCGTGCGGGTCCTCGAGGGCCGAAAGACCTCCGGGACTCGGACCCGGCACGGGAGAAAGGGACGGGCTGGAGGAAGGTGGTCGATGCGGAGGGCTCCTCTTGAGTTTTTTGGGTCCGGCGGGCGTGTAGATCTGGATGTCGTCTCCCGGCTTGACCTTGCCGTCGTCTGCCGATGTGGTGGGAGTGACCGTGGTGAGGTGGTCCTCCATGTGCGACCCCATCTGCCGTTTGCGCCCGGTGACCCCCGGTGTTGCAACGACGACGGGGCAGGCGTTGGAAAGCGGTCTCGCAGTGTTCTCCTCGCTGGAAAGCACCCCTCCCTCAGGGTGGTCATCATTACACTGCTCCTCCTCTCTCATGCTTGGCCACGTTTTTCTTCTGTCTTCTCTCCTCTTTTACGTGACTTCGCTCTTCTGAATTTCTCCAGTTTCCTCCGGTGCGTCTCTCTCTCTCCACTCTCCCCCTCCTTTGCTTTTCTCGGACAGTTTTGCTCTCTTGTGTTCGTCTTCAGGAACTCCCCTCCGCTACGTTGTGAGTTTCTCTGACCTGCGTTCTTCTTCTTCTTCTTCTTCAACCCACTTTCCAAACATGCCAGGTCAGAATGGACGAGTAATCGGCACTCAGTTTTGGATCGTCCTTCTTCGTTCACACATGTGGAAGCCTGTCAAAGATCTTTTCCCCAGCCTCTGTGAGAGTACACTGCAGTGGCAAAATGGGCTGCTCTCATGGCCCGCCTCTGTAGCAGCGTGTGAGACGAGAGCAACCTGGATCGGACTTTTTAAAGGGAGGGGACCGTGAAGCGTTCGGCTGCCCACCCATCTGACTCACCGATTGGTTCGAGACCATTTTTTTGGACAGCTGAGCCTAAGACAACAGGAAGAGTGAAACCGGAGCGATTGGTCCGATCGAAGGGGAAGAGGCGGAGACAAAAGTGCGTCCAACAGCCAACCAGATCGAACCGTTGTAACGTTTTTGCTTCTTGTCCTAGAAGTTGCCCAAGTTTATAGGTTCCAGATTTCCTCCAAAGCGAGTCCCTATACCATCCCCCCCTTCTCCCTGCCTGCTTCCCTGTCCTCTCCTCTTCACAGCTCAGCACCGTCATCTCTTGCTTTCGATATAGTTCAGAAAAAAAAACAAGAAAAGAAGCTCTACTGATGCTTTTGTATCAGAGTTGGACAAAGTTCACGTAGTGTTTTCTGCCATATGTTAGCTCTTCCTGCTTTATAAATGTGATGATTTTTTTCTTTTAAAAACACATAACATTCCTGGCAGATGGAGTAATCATGAGAGTAAATCTGGATAATAATTCTTTCATTGTTTATTTTCTGATGGGGTAAAATAAACTGACATCGTTGTAGCTGGGGCAGGTCTGCAATCACTACAGATCAAAGATGAATAACCGTAGCTGTATGTAATACAATAGTCACAATAATAGAAGAGTCCTTTCACCCTGACATAAACAACGACTTCCAATAAGACACCGTCATTAGTGAAATAACCAAAGCGAAAGATCACTTTGTCATTCTATACTCGCATAAGATAAACATCTCTTCAATAAATAATCAGATGAATTAGCCGAAAATATCAGACGAGCGAGTACAGATTGTTCTTGTTTGTGAAACAACAAAGATAGTGTGTTTTATTTTATTGGCAGCGACTTGGCCGTAGTTTCTGAGCGGAGACCTAGAGGGAGGAAAGAGCTGGCATTCAGTCAGCACTGCAGCGCTGAGGTCTAATCACAGCATTAAGGAAAGAATGAGTGCTGTGGATCAGAGGGAGGCCTCTGGGACATTTTGTTACTTTCATCCACTGAGCTACATCTAGAGCACGCCTCGGTCCAGGTCCAACGGGGAGCTCTGCTCTCCAAATGTCCGCATGAGCCTCCAGCATGGCCCTCAGCCGCACCCCCCCCACAAGAGGAGAGTCCGTTGTTTGCATGTTCGGAGACGAGATGCTTCCTTCTGATGGAAACACTTGAGTTGAGAGAATCACTTTTGACAAGAACTGGAAAGTCTCAAAGTCTCTACACTGAGTCAAGTTGAAGATGGCACCGGTCCACAACAAGAAGAGACACCTCCATTGTCTGACCACGGATGATATCATCTCTCTCATGTGCACACCACTGCTCAGCGTGATGGGGTTGCTTTTTTATGTTGTTGTTGTAGTCTGTGTAATAAATGCAGCCACATTTGTTAAAAGCTTTCTTGACCCAGTGTTTTCTTCTTTATCATCATGACCCCTTACATCTTCTAAACCCGGCACAAAGGAGCTGTAGCTGCACCCCGCTGTGAGCCCACGCCATGGTCCTGTCATTGATGTATTTCTATACAGTCTTGTGGTATGACGGGAAGGTGAAGGACTGAGGTTCTGATCCTGAAAACAAATGTTTAGCTCCATTTTTGACCCCTGTTAGTACGATGAGGCAGTGCTTTATCTATCTATACGAGCACACACCGGTGCAACGATGATGCACAGAATATTTTTCATCATGTGGTGTCTTGCTTCCTGATGTAAATATGGATTTAACAAAGTAAAATCTTAAAGTCTGATTAAGCAGAAGTTTTATTTTGATGGTTTCTGCACAATTGGGAGGCCTCAAAGTATCCCACTAATTGCCTCAGGCTTGCTTATTTCTGCCTTTTTTGCTTTTTGTGACTCCTCCAGGCTTTTGTGTTTCTGTATAACGCTCAATCTGTTTTCGTTCTCGAGGCATCAGTGACACCAGGGTCGATGTTTTACTCTGATGGACTTTTGCAGCTTAAAAGAGCCTCATAAGAATGCTGGAGAGGTTGTTAAAGTCGCGGGACTTTCACTCAGGAGACTGGATTGCTTCCCATGTTAGACCTTTAGATTTTCACATGCTTTTGTTTTATTTTGTAACTTGGTGTGTGTTTTTTCTTTAAAAATTTGGGTTAAAATACACAGTTTCCCAACATTAACTCATGACGAGGAAGACTACTTGCTCCCTGAAAAGCAGGACAAGGCCTGCAGAGAGCATTTGGCTACAGGCTCATGCTCCTCTTTCTGATGTTCACAGGTTTTTTTTTTAGGTCCACCCTCCATGTTGAAAAATGATGTTAAACAGGAACCCAAATGTGATGCAAAAGGAATCCAGACAAAGGGGCTGAAAATGATGAACTGAAAGTGAAACAGAGCTCTCCAGTCCCTCCCATTCTCCTCCCGACCACCAGGGGGCCTCAGACTTTCTCACGAGTCCCAGTAACTGCTCCCACGTCCACAGTTATTCCACAGTCACACTTCCTCCAATTTCCACAGCCATTTCCACTTGCTTCCTGTCAGCTGTTGCTTTTTTACCTGAACCTGAATCTGTCTCCGCCCTCCTGTCTGCTTGTACTTTATCTGCTTCTTTCCTGTTGGATTCTCATCTACTTCTGTCTGGACCTGCTGCCTTTGTCCTCAAAGTGTTTTGCATTGCATTAACATCTCTGAAGTGCTCCTGTCCGCCTGGCTATCTGTATTGGAGTCATTTATCCTTGATGCTTTGTGCACACCTTGAGAAACTACTTTCAACTCTACAGAATGCTTCTCATAACTTAAAGCTGTGCTAGTGGATCTATGTTCACGTGAGTTAAGACAGTAACGCTGCAACTGCCACATTTCCTCTTTCGTCTGTGTTGCACATGTTACAGAAGCAAACAATGGACAACATTTGCTTTTATTTAGAGCCCTGTCTCTGGCCATGAAGATTTTACATCCTTCTTAGGCTGTTTATTCTCTCCACAGCCTTTGCTTCCAGATTCTCAACTAAGTTAACCGATATGTTCGTGTACTACTCTTGTCCCCAATGTGTTCTTTCAGAGCTTTTTCACAACAAACAGCTGACTGGATTGAGGGTCAATGACAGCATAGTGAGGTAACAGAAAACCCCAACAACAAGCTAAAAGTGGCTAAAAGCATGACAAAGAAACATCTTTCATGTTTCACATCATCATGCGATTGGCTACGAACAGAAAACATTTGGTGCAGCACAAATAACTCAGAGAATCTGGGATGTTTGAACGGAGTGAGTAACATTTTCTTGAACTTTATGCGACAAAACTAGGCGTGCAGTCGCACAGTGATCAAATTAAAATGAACACAATCAGTCTGGTGTTGAATGACTCGAAATATTTACACCAGAAATCTGGAGTTTAACTAACAATCCAGCTGTCATACAGTGCTTTGAGTAGCCGGTGAAATTAGTATCCATAAACACCCGTGTGCACAGACCGCTGTCAAATTGACTGAATCCTTTTCATCTTCGTCTCTTTAAACATCAGACCCGGCCTCCTCTCAGTGGGCGATGGCACACCTGTGATGGATCACAACTATTTACATATCACAGCTCCCTTGAAACTGTTCCTTGCTTGCTAAAAATAAATACCTCGGAGCTATAGGCACGATGGAAAATGGATATCAGGTCTTGGTATAAACACACGTATATTGAGGCAGCGTGGAGGGGAGGGGAGGGGGATCATGTTCACAATGCTTCGTGTTGTATGGGAAGGTCCCCCAGAGGCTGACTGTGTCTGGAAAAAGGGGAAAGAACACCGGACCTTGTCTGTTTGAACTGCATGCTCAAATGAGGACTTAGCATAAATATTTCCACCAAGAGAAATGAGAGAATGTTATCACATGCAGAGCTTGTATATATACACACACACACATGGCACACACATGCCTGAAAATTCATGGGTTTACGATGTGGCATGCATTTACACGGACACAAGAAGGAAGAGGATCCGCTGCGTAGAAACATCTCAGTGAGTGAAGCTCATTTTCTCTATGACAGCTGCGATTGTGCTCCGTCTAAACAGTTTTGGTCGACTGTTTATCTAAAAATCCACAATCGAGCCACATTTCAAAAAGTTAGTGCTTGTTGCAGGGTTTGAATTATACAAAGTGTTTAGTACAGTTTTTTTTTTTTTTAATGGGGGAAAAAAATGCGTCGTATATTTTCTGTCTTCTTTCTTTTATTTCTTTCTTTTTTGTCTTCAACCTACAGATTCTGTGGTCTCAACACTGCAGGCAACGGTTCTGAATGTTGAACAACCCGCTAAAAATGATCCAGCATCCCTGTCGGATAGGATTAACATCAGAAGGGGAGGTGAGGATAAAGTATTACCTGTGGTTCTTACTATTCTCATTGTTCCTGACAGGATTCTCATCTTCGTGAAATCACTGGATATAGACTGAAACAGACATTTAACAGAACAAACCAAAACAAGGAGCAGCTGAGAACAACACACAGAACAAGCAAGGCATTAGAACTTCATTGAAAAATTTTTAAAAATCAAATCACTCCAGTGCCAGCATGTGAAAGCATAGATATGTATAATAAAGCCCAGATGTCTTAAGGCGGCGTTTCGGACGAGGTCCCCCTTCGGCCATCTTGCCACGGGGTAGCTCTCCAGTGGAACCTGTGGCACGTGAAGGAAGGTGAGTGATCTCCGCTAACGTAAATACTCTTATCTCGCTGAAAGCTTTACAAACAGTTTGGTGTCTTACAAACTTTATGAACATGGCTACAATTCAAATTACAAAAATATAAATAAAATACTAAATAATTAAAATACAAATAGTTGCTGGCCTTGAGAGCGTAACATAATTATCCATAAGCGTTTGTAATAAACCAAACTGTTTGAAAATCAGTAGAAAATTGAGCAATTTATGGTTATTTAAAAAGTCCATGCACCACTACAACACAATGGCTGTGTCCGAAATCACTCCCTATGCCCTCCAT